TTGGTCGGTTATGACGCTAAACCTATAGGGCGGGTTTGGGTCGTGACAGAGTGGTATCAGAGCATGAGTTATACTGAGCTATAGGATGTCCTAGACAGAAAAATAGGGACATTGCATTATCATGTGTGAGATGTAAATTTTTCTATAAAATGTTTGATAAGAAAATGAAAATGAAAACTGTGAGCTTGAACAAAGAAGTTATGTGGATTAACATGTCATGTTGATTTCGATATTGAATGTGTAAGTCATGTGAACATGAACATATGAATGTAAATGACTATGTGACCTATGTGAATATATTTGAATTGAAATAAAATGCAAAACGTGTTTGATATGAAATGAAATGAAAAATGAAATCAGTGAGAACTTTTCCTATGTTAATAATTACCCTGTTTATGTATAGACAAATGGAAAGGGCAAGTAATGTGGACGAATCTGAATCTTCTGTTGCTAGAATTAACCAGCTAGAAAGAATGGTTGAAGCCTTAACCGAATCTATGAGACAACAACAACAAAGGCAAATACATGTACCTTTCACCTTCCCCGGTACACTTGAACCACATTAATAATGATATTGTACTTTAACACAGAAATACAATAAGATGAAGCCATCGAAATTTCTGAGGGGAGTTGAATTGTGAAAGCCGAGGGTTGGGTTTTAGAAACTGAGAAATTATTTGAAGTATTTCGTGTACTGAGACACAGAAAGTTTTGTTGGCAACATTCACACTTAAAAGAGAAGCTAGAAGATGGTGGATGTTAGTACAAATGATAATAACAGTATGACATGGGCAAGATTTAAAAAAAAGTTCTATGAAAAATATTTTCCCTAATGCATCCGAGATAGGAAAGTATCCGAGTTTGAACAACTTAAGCAGGGTGACATGACCGTGGCTGAATATGAAGCAAAATTTACTGAAATAGCCCGATACCACCCACATGATAGACACTGACTACAAAAAGGCTAGAAAATTTGAAGGTGGGCTTGATCTAGATGTGTTTGACGAGTTGGTGTTTTAAAATTGTCAAAGTATGTGGACAATTTGATAGGGCCTTAATGTCCGAGGCAAACATAGCAGCCTTGAAAATATCAAAGTCGTCGTCATCAACTGAATGGAGAGTAAGAAACAAAAGAAACAAAGATTTGAAATGACATAATTCGATGACCTCCATGAATGAAAAATCTAAGGCAAGAACTTAAACAATGTAAGTCAGAAAAGCAATGTGAACAATGATATACCTATCTGTAGAGAATGTGGGAAACAACATTGGGAATTGTTTTGCCTATCTGAGCTTGTTTTAGATGTGAAAGAAGGGACACTGGGTAAATCTTGTCCACAAGCTCATCCGAACAACAATAAGCCTAATGCTATATGATTGGTTGTTCCTGTACCTAGAACAAATGCAACTTCTATCCCGAGGGAACAATATTAGGCAAAAGATGAATTAACTCTAAATTCATCCATCTTTAGTTCAATTCTTGCACATAATCACATATTCCTCTTGAATTGATCTAATTGATGGCTTAAACTCATGATTAAGTCTTGAATTCTCACCTAGAGTCTTGAATAAGCCAAATTCTTGTAAATCTTAGAGCTTCTCTTCTTAATCTTCAAGAATCAAGCCTTAACCTTCCAATTCTTTAGCTTTCTCTCTCTAAAAGTGAACTCACTCTCTCTCTAGAATACAATCTCAGATTTTGCTCTCAAAATAGTGATGTTGAGCTCACAAATGAGTTCTAGACTCAAACAAACCACATTTAAATAGATATAATGGCTTAATACAATAATTAAAACATTTGCCTAACCAAAACCAACTTAATTAATCAAACTGAATATGTTTTTAATAAAATTTTCCATATGATTTTAAAAATTCCAAATAATATATTAATGTAACCAATTTCAGTTTTGTATGTCGATCAGGCTTTCAATTTTCATATCAAAGCAGATTTCACAACAGATACTACTACGATTAACAGATAAAAAGTCAAATAGCATGCAAAATACACAATTAACACAAAATTTTAGTTTAACCTCCTAATTAACATCCTGAATCATGGATTAGTGATTAATTACAGATCGGAGTTGTTATAATGAACATCGTTTGGAAACCCTATGTTTTGCTCTGTTATAGTTCTGTCGCAGCAGGTATTTCCCCAAAAATAGTGGCTGGCCAGCCATCCTTTTGTGCGGCCGACCAGTCCTTTTGGTTGGCCGACCACCCCTTTTGTACAACAGTGGTAGTATTTCAGATCAACAGGGCAAATCCTGACGAACGTCAAAATAGAACTATTTTCTGAATGCGAACAAGGCAATTGCTGGCATCAAGCAGAGAGGTTTCCAAAGGATGTTCTTGCTTGTATGCGCTCAGGCCCTCGTCTCTCATTTGAGTCCTTTAGATTAGTAACTTCGAGATTCATATTTTGTAATAATTAGTTAATAATTACTTAATTAGTTCATTCATTTATGTTTGTAATAATTAGTTAATTAGGACATTTGGACCCTTTTGTACAATGGCAAATTTGTAAGCATTGATACATGTCTTCCAACCGTCATTTCTTTTTCCTTTTTATTTACATGCTTACCGTAATTGTATAGCATCATATTTTCTTTTATCATTACCATGATTTGTATCCATTTTTGCATGCATTAGGGTTCAGATCATCATACTTGATATCATTGATTATTTCTTAAAACGAATATGTGTGTCGTCTTATGTTTTGAGTAGATTCCTATGTCATGTTAGTAGCCGAATCTAGTAATTGCATTCTTGTATGTGATGCATTAGTCATTTTACATATTAGGATCATGCATCTTCGTAACTATCTTCTCTTCTTTGGCTTGCCTCGGACAAGTTTTGGGTAAGCATTTTTGCTTTAGCATACTGCATGTGTGTCTTTGTTACCATGTTAAGCATACTACCATGAGGCTACTCGCTTACTTGCAATATCTCTATGAATACCTATGGATGGAGGCTATGTGGCTTAGATTGGAATGACTTTGATTATTGTACATATGAGAACGGTTTTCTTTTGAGTTGCACATATTCAAAACTCTTTTAAAAAAAGCATGAAATCAAACTATTTCAAAATAAGTGACGTGGTCTATACTTGTTTGCTTCACATAGTAATGTTAGTATATTAATAATCATAATATGAGGTTATAATGTCTATAAAAATTCACATCATGACTTAGTAAAGGCTGATCTTTGATCGAGTGAGTGGAGTGCTCAATTCATGACATTTCCTTCTCATACCTAAGTTCCCGAACTACGACAACTTTGGTTATGACGGACAAGTGGCCTCTGGCACGAGTCACGGGTTTTCTAAATTTTCCAAAAATATTTAAGTGGCAACTCTGAAATCTGGCAATGCAGCCCATTTTTGGTATCTCTGATAATTAATAGATTTTCTAGGATTTGCCGGATTTGGACTCTTATTCATTTTCTATTTCACATTGCACTTGCGAAACCGGATTCTAAACCACAAGAGTCCGAACTGTAGGGCAATTACATCCGATGAGACTAAACCCCTCCGATAAGCGCAAAAAACTAGCTACACCTTCGAATGAGAAGAACCCACTGATTTTCTTCTTGTCTCTTCATTCAACAAGCTACTAGTGACTTTGCTCATTATGATAACTCTATAAGGCGCCGAATTACTAACCATCACAACCAAAGTCTCCCTACTTTCAGGCAAAGAACTAAGTAACATCAAAGCCTGCAACTCATCATCAAATATAATTTTCATAGAAGCAAGTTGGTTAACAATACTTTTTATTTCATTCAAATGTTCCAGAATGGGGCTGTCATCTTTATATTTTAAATTAACTAAATTTCGAAACATAAAAGCTTTATTTGTGGCTGACTTTCTATCGTAAAGACCTAACTTTTTCCATAAATCATGTGTCAAAGTTTCAGTAGCAGCATGATAAAACACACGGTCATCAATCCATTGATAGATAACAACAATGGCTTTTTGATTAAACTTCTTTTATTTATCATCTTTCATACCCTCGGGTTTGCCATTATCACCCTCAATATGCCCATACAAATCTTTACAAAATAATAGGTTTTCCATTTTAGTTTTTCTAGTTACCTAATTGCTTCCATTAAAACTAGACATACGACCCACATTTTCATCCATTGATTTACACAAATAAACCGTAAGTTCTAATACTAGTTGTTAGAGAAAATAGATAATTTTCCACACGTAAATCAATCAATGCAAATAAAAACTAATGCAGAAAAAATTAAATCAACAACACAAGAATTTTTACGTGATTCCCTCAATGTGAGGTACGTTCACGGGACCAAAATTTGATTCCACTATCAACCAATAGTTTTCAAAGGATTACAAACGAGACATGAATGGTCTCACAAACTACCTTGAGATGAATTCTAAATATTCACAAATAATCAAGAGGAAAGATCTCGCCAAATAGATAAATAAAAATCTTCAAAACAGAGTTGAAGAGGACCCAAAATAACAAACTAAACAATGCTTTGAAGCAAAATAGCACCAAACAAAGCACAAAGCTTTGTACCAATAGCACCGAAAAATACACAGCAGCACTTAGGAAATCAATTCGACGGCACCCTCTTCACAAAAGCAAAGATAATCCCAAAACAATATTGTTGACTCTTGGGCTTTTTATCAAAACCTTAACTGCCACCAAACAGATTTTTAAATATTCATTGAGCCTCCAAAAGTCAAATATAATATATAAAAATATATTATAACTAATACCAAATCAAATTAAATATTTTAATAAACTAATTAGGTCTCATACTCCATTAAGGAGATATACCCAACAGGTCCCTTACTATGGGTTGGGTTAAATCAAGCTGGCAACTGGTTACTTCGAGGCGTAGGCCCACGGATGCCATGATGATACCTCAGAGCATCCTGTTTATTTCTATTAAAAAAAAAATTTGGTGTCATTTTATTTATTTATCATTTTCACATAATATCATCATTCATCAGTAAAAATAAAAACAACTTAAAGTAGCATCTTTGAATAAGAGCAATTATTTGTACACTCCAACCAGCAAGAAAATAATCCCATGAATCCTGCCTCCCTCAGTAGTGTGACATCCCTTTCTCGTCTTTGTAATACTCTTAAAAACTCATCCGAGCTCAAACTCCCATCATGATTAGTGTCGAACACATAAAATATCATATTCACCACATTCTCGTGAGAGAGATACCACAAACCTTGCAACCAAACATACGAACTCTGTTAATATCAGTTATGAAATATGCTCAATTGATTGGAAAAAAATATGTGCATAGTAAGTTTATTACATGATATGAAGCTCTTTGGAAATCGGGCTTTGTCAAGAGCCCATTCACTTTCCCATGACTGATGATTGTGAGCGACAAGGGGCGTAACCTTTTACGAAGCTCTGCCAAATTCTTAAATTCTTCGAATGTAATGCGTATGTCTTTGAGATTTGGTTCATTGTTTAATTCTTCAACACGGTCAAGAAACTTGTTTACGTGTCGCATGTCAGCAGATGCAACCATTAACAATGCAAAATTTGTAGCAGATATGGTTCGTTGTGACTTGTAGTCATAATGGGCAAACTCCAATCGCAATATCTACAAAAGTGTAAAAGGTATAGATTATAATTACTAGAGGTGTGCGAAATATAAAATAACAGTTATTTAAGGGTATGTTTGATTAGTAGGATTATTATAGCATAGGATTGGAAATGTTAGTCCATGAACTCCCAATCCTATGTTTGATTGTAAATTTTTTAACTGGATTTCATGTACGACGGACATTCAATCCGACGAAATTGGCTTATTTTTAATATTGAGAGGCATTGGGAATCATAATTCAAACTATGAAAGAAAAAAATAAAATGAATACATAATAAATGGCTATCTTACTAATTTAATTAGATAACTAATCCTATACTAATTTATGGGAATATTAATCCTTTCACTATTAATCCTTAAGGAATTGGTTTTAATAACTATTGTAGTTAATTGAAGCTGTTGGATCTAAGAGAATTAAAGCAGTTTAGAGCAGTTATTAAGGTCTAAAAAGGGTACCAGTTTCAAGTGTAAACTTTATATAATAGTATAGATTATTAACATGAAGTATTAAAAAAAAGTTATATGAACACAACCAAGTGAGATAAAGAAGTAAATGACTTATTTTTACCATACCATATAGATTAACTGAAATCCCCAAAAAATATGAGAGAGAGAGTTGCTTGACTTACTTCATCATGCATGTCTCTCAAAAACTGGACAAATTTTCCATGTTCTAGGCATTGCTTGCCATCTTTTCCAAAGAAGTACTCTAGAAGACCCCCATCTTTTACAGAACCTGAAACTTTTAGTCCAATACGAAGTCCATCTCTGTGGCGAGCCCCTTGTCTGTTATGTGTTCGCATCAAGGTCATCACCTTCTTAAATTCATCCTTGTCTATCTCTCGGTTTATTCAGGTAAACAAGATGACAACTTCAAAGTCCATACAAAATATTAGTAGAAGATATCATTCTATGAGTTTCAACAAAAAAATAGAAACTATTTTACTAGATATAGAAGAAGGTATAAACAAATTGAACAATCATTTGCTCGCTTCGTTATAAATAAAAAATAAATAAACCAACGAACTTAGACTTATGATGCACTATGATGCTTAAAGTTAGGAAATGCAAAATACTCATACAGAAGATATTTGGCAGTCACTTGTGATGCTTTTCTGGTTCTAGCATATGACATAATTAGAAATATCAAAAGTCACCAAAAAAAAATAAAAAATAAAAAACATTGTTGTATTTATATAAAATTACAAGTATTTAAATCAAGTTCTTAATAAATACAAGGTCATACCTCTTCGTAGCCTAGTGATTCTCTTTCAGTAGTTTGTAGTCATCCGATGACTGTTATAATTTCTTAAACAAATACCCAGAATAATTAATCCATATTAGAAGCTTTTGGGGCGGTTTGGATTTTGTTCTTCTCAGGAACATAACAAACACTCTACAAATGAACTCTACTCGGAATAGTTTTGTTTTTTATGATTAAATTTACATGAAAAAAAATGAGGAAACTACACTGCTTGAATTATTTAATCAATACCAGAACCACAGAGATAAGAAAAGAAATTAGATGAAAGCAAAAAATTTCAAGGTAAAACAACACCGAGTAGTGATTTTGATTGTTCGAAAAACTACTAGATTCCTTAGTGGTTGCTGAACACACATTAGATTTAGAGTTTAGACCTCCTCGTTATTGTCGAGGTCAAACATTTTAAATGCCACAGAAAAGCTTGATTCTGGGATGCTGAGTAGTGTAACAAGAAAAATATACCTGTTACAGAAAAAAATAAAAATAAAAAAATAAAACATTAATGAACCCTTTATGTAGATATTGTTAGGTTTTTGTAATTGATAATCCCGTTTGACAAAACTTCTTTCAGTTGTAATTTTATTCGCACTTCTGTTTCAGTGAGGCTGTGAGTGTTTAGATACGAATCCAACCCGAATTGTACCTGTGTAGAGAGTTTGTACTATCATTGCGTATCTTGAGCAATCTTTGTTTGCCAAGCACAAATGGAGTCAAAGTTGTTTGACCGCTCAAGCGGTCATTTGTGCACTTGAGCAGTGATGTAAACCATCCAGTATCTCCGCCTGCAAACTGAACTTTTGGGAAAAGCTCTTGAATCTAAAGGATTTTGAATAAGCAAAACTAAGACAGAGTACATGGAATGTAAATTTAATAACGGTAACAATGAAAGCCGAGGAGAAGTGAAGATTAAGAACCAAGAACTATCTAAGAGTGAACATTTTCGTTATTTAGGGTCGATTATCACAACAGCGGTGGAAATTGATGCGGATGTGGCCCATAGGATTAAGGCGGGATGGTGTAAGTGGAGAAGTACATCTGGGGTACTGTGCGATAAACGAATACCCACTAGACTTAAAGGTAAGTTCTATAGAACGACTATTAGACCAGCAATGTTGTATGGAACGGAGTGTTGGGCAACAAAGAAACAACATGTAGATAAGATGAGAATGCTACGGTGGATGTGTGGCAAGACTAGACAAGACAGAATTAGGAATGAGTGTATTCGGGAATGGGTAGGAGTAGCACCGATAGAAGATAAGTTGAGAGAGAATTGATTGAGATGGTTTGGTCATATTCAAAGGAGACCAACAAAGGTAATAGTGAAGAGATGCAATGCTGTAACGGTAGATGAAAGTGTTAGGAGGAGGGGTAGGCCTAGATTAACGTTGGTTAGCGTTGTAAATAGGGATATGGATCTACTTACTTTGACTAACGAAATGGCCTTTGATAGGGTCGCGTGGAGAAGAAGGATTCATGTAGCCGACCCCATTTGATGAGACTTAAGGCTTGGTTTGGTTTGGTTTGGTTTAGGAGCGGTGAAGTGTGCACTCAAGCAGTTGGCCTATATGTTTGCACCGCCCACCACTCGAGCAGTGAAATGTGCGCTCGAGCAGTATTCGGGATTCTATTTTCTATAATGTGCACTATTTACTGCTTTTAGGGTTTAACCTGTCCAGATTCTTAGATAGGAAGAGAAAACAAAGTGTTTCATATTTTAGGGTGTTTTATATGAGTTTAATTGGTGTATAGAAGGTGATTGATTGATCAACGAACTACAAACTGTCAAACATTAAGGATTATTCTTATTATTTCATTCACAAAATAGAGCAGTGTTCTAATTATAGAAGGTGATCGATTGATCAACGAACTACATATTGTCAAACATCAAGGGTTGTTCTTATTATTTCATTCACAAAATAGTGCAGTGTTCTTTGGTGGATTCTAGGGAACTTGAGCCTGAAACTTTGGTGGGTTCTAGAGTGCTGTGTTACATGGACTCGCCGGTTTAGGGTAGAGTACCCGTGTCGACACGAAGTGACACGGGTGCGGGTGTGAGATATGTGTCGGATTCGGCATGATTTCCTCGGACACGGCTGACATGAGAGAAGAGGAGAAAGAAGAAGGGTAGAGAAACTTGCAGTCGACCAATGGTCGCCGGAGGTCGTAAGCCTTTGTAGTTGCATTGGAGGTCGCAAGCCTCTGCTTTGTCATCGCAAGCCTTTCGCCGGAGAACTGATAGATGAGAAAAGGAGCTGAGAAAGACATGATAGAGAGAGATGAGAATGAGACTTGATTCTTTTTTTCTTTTATCTCTGTAAGAGAAGTTTTCAAATCTGAGATAAAGATTGTAAATAGAGTCTCCTGATATATGGTCCTGCAACACATGGCTCGTGATAGTTGGACTTGGACAGTGTGTATAAATTACATATATTTAAAAGATGATTAGTCAATAATTAAATATTTTTTAATTATTAACCAATCATCTTCCTCACATATCACTAAATTTAGAAAATAAATCAAATTTTTTATTTTTTTATTAAATCTTTTATTTTTTATTTCTATGATATTTTTTACCTACAAAATTAGATAATGTGAATAAAAAATAAAGTATTAATTAAAAAATTCTATTCATGCATAAAATTATATATATAAATTTTGTGGTAATATCATTATTATAAATAAATGCCTCTTCAATAGGTTTTTATTTTGAAGTGAATGGGACATTTGTTAAGGAATAATAAGGATAAAAAATATGTTAATTCTGAAAAAATTATTATTAAATTTAATATATATTTTTAATTTAATACACTTTTTATATTTTTGAAACTATATTTTTTTTACACTTTCTCAATATTAACAAGTGCCATGGGAACAATAATATTTATCGAATAAAATTATGCATAAAATTTTTATTTATAGCACTAATCTATTAAGTATTTTTTAATATATTTTATTTTTTAATTTTATATTGTGATTTTTTTGAAAGAAAAAAAGAAAGATTTTATTTAAAAAGAGTTATGCTAAGGATCCCAAATATTCTACAAAACTTCTTGTGTGGGTGTAGGACTCACACACATGTGAATTTGTGTGAATCACACCCCATATAAGAGGTTTGATAAAATATTTAGTAAAATATTTGAGATACATAACATTTCTCATTTAAAAATAATGGTCCTATGAGCTCTGCACGTGACTCGAGATAATTGGGAAGTGTGTATAATGGTACGCAGGTAATGTGTGTACATTTTATTTTTTGATATTATCTTTATTTTGTGTCTTCTATAATATAATTCAATGTAGCATTATTATATTTATATAGAAAATAAATACAAAAATATTTTTTATTTAGGGTTGATTTAAGAATATCAAAAATCAGTCAAAAAGTTAAAAATAAAATCAAAAAATTAAACTAAAAAATTAACTAGTATTTCTTTTTTTTCCTATTTTTTTTACATATTTTTTGATAAAAAATTAAAAAGTTATTTCAAACATACAAATTTTGTTACCTTATATTTTAACTAAAAAATTTAAAAATTATTAAAATAGTTTATTCTCAAGCCAATATTACTTTTTGCTTATTTTTGGAAAAAAAAATAATCTTGTCACCATTTTTAATTTATTCTTTAAAAAAATATCAATATTAAACAATATCCCAAGAACATTTAATATGTAATTTTTTGACCATTTATAAATAAATAAGATTAACATATTTTATATATTATAAAAATATATTTAAAAAAGTTCAAAAAATTTATACCATCTATGAAGGTAAATACAACAAAAATATATCATATTCTCAAATTTACTAACATTTTAACATTACTTTGGTAATGATAGTAAATAAAAATAATATGCAAATAATTAATTTATTCATAATATATGACATTACCTATTAAGCATAAATGTATAATTAATTTTGGTCTCTTATGGTTATTCTTTATTTTTTCAAAATTGTAAATGTGTATAGTTTTTTTAAGAAAGAGAAATTATTTTTATCATATTTTCTTATGCTTATTTTTAGTTTTTCTATCCTTTCTATATTCGGCATAAAATTTTGTCGTCCATATCTAATTTGTATTAATACAAATTTTACTAATTATTTTAATATTATCCTATTTATTACAATTTTGACTTAAAAAACTCATTATCATTGAGGCAGATACTCTATTGTAGAGGTATTGTCTATATAGCGATCTCGGGTTTACCCTTGTTGAACAGTGATCCGGAC